GAGGAGGAACTAAGGAGCACTTGGTTCCTGTGGACCTTTGTGTGTCCGTTAAAATATATTTAAATGGCCAAATCTTTGTCAACAATCCTCAAATTCAAACGGTATCTGTCCTGTGTGGACAGTCATGTGTAAGTTTAAAGTTATCTCATGGCTGAACCTTTGTCCACAGAGCTCACATTTAAGTAGTTTCTGTCCAGTATGGACTCTCATGTGAAAGTTTAAATCTCTTATTTGCCTAAATCTTTGTCCACAAAATTCACATTCATATGGTATTGATCCTGGGTGAATTCTCATGTGTGAGTTTAAACTTGACTTCTTGCTAAATCTCTGTCCACATTTCTGACATTCATGAGGTTTCTCTCCTGTGTGGACTCGTGTGTGTGAGATTAAATTTGACTTCTGGGTAAATCTCTGTCCACAATTCTGACATTCATGAGGTTTCTCTCCTGTGTGGACTCTGATGTGCGAGTTTAAACTTGACTTATGGCTAAATTTCCGTCCACAAATCTCACATACAAACAGCCTCTCTCCTGTGTGGACTCTCATGTGTGATTTTAAATTGGTTTTAAAGTTAAACCTTCTTTCACAAATCTTACATACAAATGGTTTCTCTCCTGTGTGGATTCTCGTGTGTGATTTTAAATGTGTTTTTCTGTTAAATCTTTTACCGCATTCATCACAACTAAATGATTTTGGTCCTGCCTGGACTTCCCTGTGTGTCTCTACACTTTTCTTCTGACCCAAACAGCTTGAACGTCTTCCTGTTGAATGACATGTCAAGTGTCTCTGAAGTGACCGGTTGTGCAGAAATTGTTTACCACACTCAGAGCAGCTGAAACATTTGTTGACAGAGTTTATAGCTGACTCAGGGGCTCTGCTCTCCTTCCAGTCTTTGTCTTCAGTTGTTGACCCAGAGTCTGACAAGTGTTCCAGCTGAGAGTCAGGATTGTTCCCATCCTTGTCCTCTTCATCATCCTCACTGACTTCAGTCTCTGAAGAGCTGGAAGCATCTCCATGAAGATTTAAATCTGGATTCCTGCTGGTTTCTGCTCCTCCCCAGTCCTCTCCATCAGCTTCTACTTTCATCTGGTCAGCTGAGCTGCTGGTT